TGAACGAGGCCTGGCGGTACGCGTACCGGCAGTGGATCTGGTCGCACGTCATGGACTGGCGGCAGCTGATGTTCGGCGACGAGACGGCGATGGATGGGCGTGCGCGGCGCGGCTGGGGCGTCATCGGCCACCGCGTCAATATCATCGAGCTCTTCCACCCGTTGATTTCGGTGCTCGCCTTGTACACCTACACCGGCTTTGCGTGCTGGCGCCACGTCGAGGGGGCGTTCAACGTGGGCACGTTCCTGGAGGCGATGACATCGATGCTGGACGACATCATGCAGCCGTGGCCGCTGCCCAACTCCATCCTGATCCTGAACAACTGCGGCATCCACCATACGCACGAGACGCTGCTGCGAGAGTTCATCGAGTTGAAGGGCGGAATGCTATACTTTCTAGCGGCGTACTCACCGAGCGACTCACCCGCCGAGTCTGGCTTCAACGCGTTCAAGAATTGCTGGAAGAAGTATGGCGGCCTCCTGCAATGCCTCGACCTCGAGGGCGTGATCCGCTGGAGCCTGCCGAACTGCCAGGGCTACAGCGACAGCAAGCGCGCAGCGTTCGGGTGGCAGTGAGCTGCGCAGGAGTCCTACTGCACGATGGGCTACGTGTATCACGCCTCGATGCCGCTCTAGACTTCGTTGGTTCGTTTTATACATTAATTAATTAATGATAAAATCTATTGTAATGACAGTAACTTAAATTCATATTTACTTAATTCTATTTCCTGTAATTAGCAGTGTACCTAAATCAACCTATACCTTCGTTCGGAGAATCTTATCCGGATTATCCGGATTTCTTATTCCTAAACGCAGCCATACAAATACGGGAGGCAGCAATCACACTAGCAATCGCCCTCCCGGTGGAGCTTAAGAAGGCCCTCCGGCTATACAGACCGGATATAGACCTGGATGACCTCATGGGAAATAACCGGTAGACCATAGTAAGCGACCCATCTTCTGGCCAATAGCAGCGCAAGCAAAACACGGCCTTCCCCACTTCCCAGCAAACCAGGCCGCGTGGATGTCAGACAACATGCTTCACGGCATAGAGACAGTCATGGAAACAGACATCGCGGTGCAAAACTAAACAGAGACCCCGGGAAAGTTGGCGACATTATCGACCTACATTACCTAAGGGTGCACCCCACTAGCTGTATACGGCTTTTTCGGTCATCATTATAATCTTTAAAACTTGATTCTTTTGGCAGTCGGCCTACGGCCGACTGCGCTGCGGTGGGGCTATGAGGCGCGCGTAGCGCGCTCCGATAATCTTGATTACGGATTTTTATTTATTTATTGTTTATATACTGATAGGGATTCAAGCTGGCGTCTGACTGTTCTGAATGTTTTGCTGGTCTGAGCGCTGCGTCGCCCATTGCCTGCTGCGTGCCTTAGTCGGCTGCGCTGGCTTGGGCG